AATATCTAGTTAGGCCCAGAAACCACCACATGATCTCAAGGTGAAGTCTCGTTATGATGGTGCCCTTTCGGCGACAAGATTCAAAACATCCTTGCGATTTTTAACTGCATTTGGCTGAAAAATAAATATTTATAGTAGTTGTATTAGTGGCAGAATTCGTGGTGTAGGTGTTTTCGGTGGTACTGGTGTTATAATTCCACAAGGCGGTCCCTGGTCGATGATAGTTGTTTATTGCAGTTTACAGTTCGAGATCGATAACTTGGCGAAAATGTATCAAGATATCTCATTTGGAACATGTCATCGCAATTCTCAACATCACGCAGGGTAATGAATAAATAGAACAGGCCGTAGTTATTTTTTCGAGCACAGCAAATCGCTCTAAGTGGTCTTGTCCATTTTTGACCGTTGAAACAAACCGCTAACCGCATTTTTTCATACTAATTACAAGTGTGAGTAGCACCTCGCAACACTGATACCTGTTGCGCAGACGCAACTTTATAGATTTCTGCACTATCCTTATCATATGCGAAATATTCACTTATCTATGGTAGGCAACACCACTCTTTCGGTCTCCACATTCTTCATTTGATAACACAGTTGTAGTGCTTGTGAGCGGTTTGACAGAATATGAAACCGTAATTTTGCGCCATAATCGAAGTACTAAACCAATTCAGGGTGAATTTCTTTACAGATCTTTCATATTTTGCGCTGTAACAAATATGTGCACATATTCTCTTTCCATACGCAGGCATCTTCATTCAGCAGTATGACTGATTCAACCATGTCTCTCAATGTGATCAATGTCACTCTGAATATGGACACAGTCAATTTCCTTGGAATCAGTATTGTGGGTCAGTCAAACAAAGCAGGAGATGGTGGCATCTATGTCGGATCGATCATGCGCGGTGGGGCTGTGGCCCAAGACGGTCGTATTGAACCCGGAGACATGATCCTCGAAGTCAATCGAATCAGTTTTGAAGACATGAGTAATGATGAGGCGGTACGAGTGTTACGTGAAGAAGTCCAAAAGCCCGGGTAACTTTGCCATTTATTTGCTTTGTGTTGACCGTGTCACTGATTTGCGTGCTATCAAAACGGGACGAATTAAAGTCGCATTGCGAGCGGAGTAGGTGGGTTAGTGGCAGTACGACTCCCCTTTCCCAGGTTTTTAGTCTCGGTGTATGCTTTGCAACTCTACTATCATGAATGTTAATGTTATAGTGTTAATAACACAGCGATGTCGGTAGAGAATTATATTCGCCGACGTTTCGGTTACCGTGGGTAACCTTTCTCAAGGCAGGTTTTACAATCAAAACCTACTATCATGACTTCGCTCCCTACTCCGCATAGTTTCTCGCGGGGGTTATTGTTTGACCAGGATTTTCATACCTTCCTGTCAGGTCTTCGTTTAACCACCCTTTACTTTTTTCCATCCGTTATCTACCTTGGCAAAAAGTACGCACCTGGACAATATATTTGGTGATATGCGCAACATATGCCCAGACCAACGTAGTCCACGGGGGTCGATTAGTTGCTGCAGTGGACAATTGCGATTACCTAAGACTGGGCCTAACCTCAGCATTGCTCGTCCGGTTACCCCACCAGATTCATGAAGTGCGACGTAGACAGCGGTGTTCAAACACAGACAGTCTATCTTTGTCCTGTTTTCTTAATGGCCAAGTTCCTGCTCCATATAGCAGGACTGGCCGAACTACTGCAGCATACACTCGACCCTTAACAAACAGCCGAATGTCGCGATGGCGCCACAGATGTCTTAAGTTAGCAAATACCAACCGAGCCTTCTGTATGCGAGCTGACACTTCATCCGTGATGCGTTCACCGGGTGAGATATAGCTTCCCAGATAACAAAACTTGTACACCTGCTCTATTACTTCCCTGGTTAGAGTGAGTCTGGGTGCTTGACCTACCCAGTCTTGTAGTAACATTTTACACTCCGAAGGTGCAAAACGCATACCGAAAATGGCTGCACCAGCACTCAATTTATCCAGAAAAGCTTGCAACTTGGACCTAGCAGCGCGATGTTGTCTGCATCCTCCAGATCAAACAGTCTACCACCTGGGAGTAAATCGATGCTACTATCCTCACGCCGGGACAGGGCAGTTTCCATAATCACAGAAATAGAAATGAAAAGGAGGTTCACCCTGATGAACAGCACTTTCCGTGGTAAACTCGGGCGAAAAGCTACCGCTTTTAGTATACAGAAGTCGCAGAATGGAAATAGACATCTCTGGCACACCTTGCAAACGAAGTCAGCGCCTAACCATAGAGCGATCAGCTGAGTCGAAACCCGTAGTTCTGTTTTTGTTGTAATGTGATTCTCGTTGACCGTCCGCAAGCCGGAAAAAAATTTACTTCAGTATAAATGCTGTTGCTTGGTAATATGGGTCTGTTTGGGCTCCCAGGTTAGGGACCCCTTGGCCAACGTTACTAACGACTAGGGTCACTGGGTGTTTTGACCAAGGCTGGTAAACAGTGGCAATTGTGCACGTACTCACTTCCTGTGCGCACTTACGATATTTAACCTTCGTTCTCCCGGTTTTGATCAGGAAAAAATAAACAACAACCTGAGCGCGCAAAGTTAATGGTGGTACGAACTTAAGCTGGAATTGTTTTATATCATTTTGGCATAGTTACGACGTCTCGCGAGCCGGTACTCACTTATTCCTTGGTATTGGTTCTCTTTTGACTGTCACATTCAGACGTTCAACAAGCTTGTATCTACCACAGACATGTTTCTGGCTGTGTGTTGGTAAGGCCAATGGAAAGTGCTTCAAAAGGGGTTTCCACACCATTCATTTACCCTTATGCAAAATTTTAATGTTTCGGTCGGTGTTATTCTTCGTGATTTAACGGTAAGGGACTGGGTCACATAGGTCATGTTAGGCTCCCTGGATGGGGGTCTAGGGATGATCGTAACCGATGGTTAGAGACACTAAGTGATATGGCTGGGTATCGTAAACAGTAGCGTTCGTGCATCTTCTCAATTTCTTTGCAACCTTCGACCACCGAAGTTCTCCACTTTCTATTTGACTCTACTTTCAACTTTCCTGTCTTCTATTATTCACTCAAATGGGCAGCCAAAAGACAGTAACCAAAACCGGCGCACGAAATTGCATGGTTAATGATTGCACAAACTGAACTGAACGGATTTAACGGTAAATTAAGTTCATTGATTGGCCTACTGCTTTCGATTCGACTCCTTTTAGTTACCGGATCTATATTGTTTACACGGGTGGTTTCACGTTGAGCCTGAAACTGTCCACTGGATGAATAACTTTCGTGATACGTGTTCTACCTTTGTTCTTCTCTTTTTGTGCGATTACTTTCTTTGGACAAATTGTGACTCTGTGTGTTCATCCATCAGATAATGCCTGAACTTCTGCAAGCACTTCTAGATTCCGGGTTGTAATGACGACCACAAATCACTTAGTCCGATAGATTGACCAATTGGATGTGGTTCAGTGTTGTGCTTGGTCTCACTCTCTCTCACTCTCATCACGCATCATTCGATTGTCTAGCAGAGTCTAAAACCTATATTGACAATTAATGAACACTTACGTGCATTCACACTGTGAATGGCTCCGGGTGTATGTTTCATTCACTTTGACATGGATTTTTTCTCCGTCATTCAATGTTGTTCTGTTTGCTAATGACATGTGTGTANATATATATATATATATATATATATATATATATATATATATATATATATAATATTTCCCGTTTAATTAACCTAATACTTTGGCTAAATCTTTGCTCATTGAATTTCACTGCTTGGTTTTTATCCACTACTAAAATACACCTCCCTTATGGGGGTTCCCTGTTCACACGCATCCATGGTCCCGGTAAACGGATGGGGACGAGATTCGAGGATTTTTTTCCACCTATCGTTTTCATCTGTTGTTTGCAAACTGTCACTTTGCAAATTATCATCCACACCGATTGATTCACATTGGCAATGGATCGAGAACGGTGTGCGCTTGATTAGCTAAGCGAAGCGGGGGCGTAGAAAAGCACGATAT